CAAATACCGTAGGCATAAATCGTTACTTACATAAACTACTGAATGATTACAAATCCCATTCAACCAACATGAACTTGTAAAAGGGTCTGATGCTTTCTTTTGCTATTCAGTGTTATATTCGCAGATGTCTTTATTCTTCTGCTGTCTTGTAATAAAATCGCGTATTGCTGTACCAAAATTGAGCCAAAGACTGAGATATAAAAAGAGCAGTTTTGTGGAGTGCATCGTCGAGGATGCTGTGCCCCTGCTCGTCTCTCTAACAATTCATCCCCGTACTTTGAAACCTTTAGTTGCTTAGTAGGGGATGGTGTGTGCGTTGGCTGTTTAGCACCTTTGTAACCTTAAAGTCGCTGCTGCAGTAACGACTTACAGTCAACTTGCAGTTTTTAAGATACTGGAGTTCGTTGCGGCACCAGGAAAAGATGAGACAGAAAAAGATATTTTAGGGTGTTTCCTGTTTACACCTCCTCGCAGGTAAGTAAAGTGCCTCCTACAGGAAGGACGTTGATGTGGAGAATGGCGTTTCATTTCTTAGCAATCGTGTGTTAACAATCTTGAGTGTGTGTGTTTCAACAATGTCACGGGGAACTCGGGGCATGGTGCTTAGATAGAAGACTCCACCTTGCATGTAGGCTGTTACGACCACTAAATAATAGTTGGTCATGGGCTCACTAATCCAACTAAGCATTGTCAAAGGACTGATAGCCAATGTCAGAATCAATAGGTTCCGTGAAGCAAGAAAAGCGAAATCGAGAAACGCAATATACATCGTGATGCTTGGACTACAGACAATTGTCTAGCCTATCCGCTTACTTAATTAGGAAGGCCAAGTAGATCTGTATACCTTAGCAAACGCAACATATTTTCACTCAACCGTCTTTTCTTTCACATGGTTGATGATTCCGTGTCCTTTCCACTTTTCCTTTTGTCAATACTAATTTAGGTCTTAATGGAAGGACTTTACAGATGCAATCGCTTGCTGCAACTGATCTTATGCCAATACCGGTGCAGCACACGCCCTTTAAATTGCAGCAAACCTTCTAAATTCATTGTCCACTGATGTTCCAGAATAGACAACAACTCATTTCCACCAAAGTGGCATGATTCCGCGCAGACCACTTTGAAGAAGAATGCTTAAGATGTGTTTCGGCTGTCAGCCGAGGTTCCTATGAGCAAGGCATGTTAATTGAAAATGCTCGACACTAAACCTGAGTGCTTCAAATTGAGCGCTTGTGCCATCCTACTACCAAGGCCATTGTTGGTAGTTTTTTCCAGTTTGCATGATAGAATTGCAAACCATATTCTGTGTTTGCTAAATCTAATATTCACAACTTGAATGTACTGGTTAATTACACTTCGGCTGACCAAGCCTTAGGCTCTCTTTCATTACAAGAGGATTTTTTAAACGAATAAGAAGCTCTGTAGCGCTACCAGCATGGTCCCCAGGCGCCGCCGCTCAGCGGATCTACAAAAGCCGAGCCCTCAATGTTCACGAAACCGCACCCACAAACAATGCACTATAATGTTATTCTTCTGCTGTCTTGTAATAAAATCGCGTATTGCTGTACCAAAATTGAGCCAAAGACTGAGATATAAAAAGAGCAGTTTTGTGGAGTGCATCGTCGAGGATGCTGTGCCCCTGCTCGTCTCTCTAACAATTCATCCCCGTACTTTGAAACCTTTAGTTGCTTAGTAGGGGATGGTGTGTGCGTTGGCTGTTTAGCACCTTTGTAACCTTAAAGTCGCTGCTGCAGTAACGACTTACAGTCAACTTGCAGTTTTTAAGATACTGGAGTTCGTTGCGGCACCAGGAAAAGATGAGACAGAAAAAGATATTTTAGGGTGTTTCCTGTTTACACCTCCTCGCAGGTAAGTAAAGTGCCTCCTACAGGAAGGACGTTGATGTGGAGAATGGCGTTTCATTTCTTAGCAATCGTGTGTTAACAATCTTGAGTGTGTGTGTTTCAACAATGTCACGGGGAACTCGGGGCATGGTGCTTAGATAGAAGACTCCACCTTGCATGTAGGCTGTTACGACCACTAAATAATAGTTGGTCATGGGCTCACTAATCCAACTAAGCATTGTCAAAGGACTGATAGCCAATGTCAGAATCAATAGGTTCCGTGAAGCAAGAAAAGCGAAATCGAGAAACGCAATATACATCGTGATGCTTGGACTACAGACAATTGTCTAGCCTATCCGCTTACTTAATTAGGAAGGCCAAGTAGATCTGTATACCTTAGCAAACGCAACATATTTTCACTCAACCGTCTTTTCTTTCACATGGTTGATGATTCCGTGTCCTTTCCACTTTTCCTTTTGTCAATACTAATTTAGGTCTTAATGGAAGGACTTTACAGATGCAATCGCTTGCTGCAACTGATCTTATGCCAATACCGGTGCAGCACACGCCCTTTAAATTGCAGCAAACCTTCTAAATTCATTGTCCACTGATGTTCCAGAATAGACAACAACTCATTTCCACCAAAGTGGCATGATTCCGCGCAGACCACTTTGAAGAAGAATGCTTAAGATGTGTTTCGGCTGTCAGCCGAGGTTCCTATGAGCAAGGCATGTTAATTGAAAATGCTCGACACTAAACCTGAGTGCTTCAAATTGAGCGCTTGTGCCATCCTACTACCAAGGCCATT